ACGGTTCCTGAGCCTGCTTGGATCTCAGAAGGCTCATCCTCGTGTGTTTGTCCCTGTACACTGAGTCCTTCATGGCTGAAGTCATCCAGGTGGACTTGGGCAGCTACTCGAGCCTCCCGTGCTGCTCTCTTTTAAGTTGTTGTCATAAGGCACATGCGTTTGCTAGAGAGACAGAGAAAGTGAGAAATCACCCCCCAATGGCACACGGCCATGGTGCCGTCCCTTCTCCTTCTATTTCAGAATTTTGGGCACACAGGCACATGCACCCAGCAAGGATTTTTAAGCCGCTGGGTCCAGAACTCAAACCATGGTCAGCCATGTGGAATCCAGTACTTTAACCATCATGCTCCCATTGGCCCCTTCTGTGCCTCTCTTTACTACTCTGTAGCAAGAGTAGGAATGGACCCTTCCTCACAGGCCTTGTGAGTCGAATGAGCCAATGTGAAAAGGGCTCAGATCCCTGCCAGCCGGAGTGCACTCGATAAATGGAGGCGGTCTCCATGTTATCGCTGTGATTGGCTTTATTATTATGGCTGCCTCTTTCATGCCAAGCCCTAGGAGAGCATCAGGATCCCTTTTGAATCACTGATACTGTGTTCTTTGAAGAATCAGCTGCACATCTGGTCACTGTCCACTCCTCAGCTACTCCCTCCAGCCGCTACAGTGGGCAGGATTTTACTTGTTTTGTGGTCCTCGGAGCAGCTGCCCGAGGGATGATGGATCCCCTCCTCCATCAGCTAAGGCTGGAGAGAGGAAGTGACTGCCTCCCAGCAAGAGGCCTGCCCTGCCGATTCCTGCCCCCTCACCCATCAGCCTCCAGCACCAAGTGCTGGGCCAGCAGGGAGCAGCTTGACACAGGAAGGGCAGATCCTTCACGAGGCCTCTCTGTCCCTGCAGACCTGGGCTCCAGCAGTGTGCGGGCTGGCTTGCAGTCCCTGCAGGCCTCAGGCCGACTGGAAGATGAATTTGACATGTTTGCGCTGACACGGGGCAGCTCACTGGCAGACCAACGGGAAGAGGGAGTGGCCCGGCCCCACCCCAGTCCCTCATAGTTTGGGTGGCTGCCTGTGGGGGGAGAGGTCTCTCGGAGTCTCTGAACCTGGCTTGGTGGTGGGCACACCATGAGGAAAGGCATAGCCCTACTGCCCTCCTAGGGCCCTAGATTAGTCCAGCATAGCCCGAGAGCCCTGTGGTGCAGGGACAGAGTGGACTGGGGGACAGAGTGTGCCTGCTGCTGAATGACTGTGTGCACCCAAGTGCACATGACCTGACCAGAGAGGGAGACTGAGTCACAGGAGGCTGGGTCATTGGCCCCAGGTCAGGTAGCCAGTATGTGGCAGTCACTAACCCAGGGCTCGCAGGTTCTCAGACAGGGTCTGCAGTCCCCCACCTCCTCTCTGTGCTGCACACCTGACTTCCTGAGCAGGGACAGTTCCTGATGTAACCAAAGGGCGTAGTCACCCTGTAATCGCTTATCCTCATCTTGCCAAAATTTTGAGTATGCGCATGGGCACAATGTGGGGTTTTTTTAATTATTTATTTAATTGAATTTAATTTTATTTATTTATTTATTTTAGAGGTTTTTGCTATAGGGCGGGTGTGCACACCAGAAAAAGAAAGTCAGAGAGACAGAAAGCAAGAAATCACCCCCAGGGGGGATGGTCACGCCACAATCCCTTCTCCTCCATTCTCCTCTCGGGATCTTGGGCACGCACGCACACACACCCCGCGTGAGTTTAAGCCACTGAGTCCAGAACTCAAACTACAGTCGACTACATGGGAGTCCAGTGACATAGCCATTACACCAACTGCTAGTCCCATTATTATTTTTTTAAATATTTTATTATTGTTTTTTAATTTGACCAGAGAGAGTCAAAAGGAAAGCAAGCTGTCGGTCCAGGACCATGGCCATGTGGGAGTCCAGTGCCCTAACCACCACGCCACCTACCACCCCGTTACTATTTTTAAATTTGGTATAAGGCATGTGCACTCACCAGCTAGAGAGAAAAAGTGAGAAAGCAAGCCTCAGGTCCAGGACTCAAGTCGCCGTTGGTCATGTGGGGGTCGTGTGGGAGTCCAGTGCCTTCACCACCATGCCAGCAGCTGGCCCCCAGCATGTTTTTCAATCCCCCAGAGCCAGGATTCGAACTGCTGTCAGTCATATGAGACCCATTTCCTTTAACCACTAGACTACAAGCCTGGCCCTATCCTCAGCGATTTCGAAGTCACATCTGTTGTTCCAGAGCCACCCTTAATTTACAGAGAAGTCCCTGTTCCCCCCTCTGGTCTGCCTTCTTTGCACCTGAGCTGCCCTGCCCTTCCCTGTGGACTGTCCTGTGCAGAAGCTGGCCTGGCCTCCCCTGCGGACTGTCCTGTGCAGAAGCTGGCCTGGCCTCCCCTGTGTACTGTCTGTGGTCGGGAAGGTGCTTTCGGCTGCCCTGCCCTTCCCTGTGGACTGTCCTGTGTAGAAGCTGACCTGCCCTCCCCTGCGGACTGGACTGTCTGTGTTCAGGGAGGTGCTTTCAGCCACCGAGGCACGTGGCTGAGTGTCGCTGGGGCCAGCCTCCCCTCAGCTCCTCAGGAGCGGCCTTCCTGCACACTCGTTAGGAAAGGCCTTTGTTCAGTGTGTTTTTCAGCTTTTGGCTTATGGTGCCCAGGGCTGAGCTGTGGGCACCAAGGGTTCTCACCACCAAGGGATCATCCCAGCTGTCCCCATGCAACGGTCACTGCAGCATCTGGGCACTCTGTCAGTAGACCTCAGAGAGCCCAGGGACAGACACCCTCGCACACCCACTCGTGCTGGTCAGACCTGCCAGGCTGCAGTCAGCCTGGGCCCCTGGGTTGCTCACAGTCCTGCCCATCGACCTAACTGTCCCTGGCCATCAAGGTGTCCATCCTTAGCCTGGCACAGTCTGTGCTCCCAAGCCCAGGTTGCCATGGAGCTGGGGACACCGCGGAGGCGGCTGCGCACATGGAGGCTAATGAGCCTGGTGGGACTTGCATCCCGGGTGTGGCTGGCTTGCTAGCCTGGCTGAGGTCCACCATGTCACCGTCACTCCTCTGTGGGGGCCCTGTGGGTAGGGCAGAGCATGCCCCAGGGCTGCAGGGCCATGCCCAGGGCACTGTGGACAGAGGAATTGCGTGACTCTGTAGTGTGCTCAGGGCTAGACCAGGCAGCAGGTGGTCGGGCAGGCCTTGATTCAGGAAAAGGCTCAGAGGCAGGTGGGGAGATGTGTGCTCTGGCTCCCACAGGGGCATGTGTAGGGAGGGAGCTGGTGCTTGAAGAATAGGAGGGGCCACAAGAGTGGGGGTGCACAGGTTATTCTAGCCTCAGCGTAGGGAGCATGGAAGGGTCTTCTCTTACCAGATTTGCATCTGTGCGACTTCGGCTGGGCGTGGCTGAGACGACAGCACAAGCCCTCCCAGGGCTCTGGCTCTCCGCAGGCCTTCCCTAGGGACCGATTCCCAGCCACGTAGAAAACATCCATCGGGGACAGGAGTGTGCCCAGCATCCAGTTCTCCTGCCTGGCCAGCCACCCTGTGCTTCCGGTGGTCAGCTAGCCCTGGTCACCTGACCCACCTTTCTGCCTGCTGTGTCCAGCCTGCACCTCCCTGGCGGCCCTCTTCACTCCAGCCTGAAGCCTGCCCAGCCCTGTCTTGCAGGAAAGTCAGCCACTTCTCAGCCCTCTCTGCCCTAGCTCCAAGCACAACAGCCCCATCACGGCCCTCCTGCTGGTCAGGTCCTCCCACCCCGATGCTCTGAGCCAGCCTTCCTGGAGTTGAGGAGGCTCCTCCTCACTTTCCTCCACATTTTCATCCTGAGGAACATGCCTCGCATCCTCCTCGGTGCCATGATCACAGCGACCTCTTCTCCCAAACACAGTTAGACGAGTGTCACCCAGGGAATGCCCCCTTCCTGCCCTGGGCATGGAGCAGCAGACCCCAGCCAGTGTAGGTCGTTTGGGCTTCCTGGGGGAGGGAGGTGTTTAATTCGCTGCCACAGGTGTGACCCTAATGGACACTGAGCTCTGGGTCTCAGGGCTGTGCATACCGGCAGGTAGTGGGCAAGGAGCAATTGGAAAGAACACCTACATAGTTCTTTCGAGTTAAAGGAAAGTCAGTTTCCACGTGTCCCTGGGCCGGCTGGTTCTGCCTGCCACGTGCAGCTACCACGTCTTAGACACAGGGACTGCGCTGTGGCTAACACCACGAGCATTGTAAATCCTCGGCACCACTTCCTCCTTGCCAGTTCTTGTTGCCCAGATTTAGCCAGCAGTACATTTAGCTAAGCTGCTCTCCAAGAGGGTGTCAGCACCCCCACCCCCACCCCCACCCTCGGCTTTAAGCGGGCTCTGGCATGTCCCTGCAGGATGGTCACCAGCCCACTTGGACAGGAGCCACGGACCAGGCGAATGGACAAAGTAGCAATCACCCTCTTCAGCCAGCTGCCTCCTGGGGGAGGGGGCAGACAGCGGTGCTCCTTGGATGGCTGTCTGGGGACTCGAGTCTCATTCAGGAAGCCCCTTTCAGCTCCCGCCTCCCCCATGCCAAGGAAGGCAGATGGGCACTGCCAGAGGCAGGTGCGGGACACACACAGCG